ACACCAACAAGAGATGTTATAGACACCAACAAGAGACGTTATAGACACCGACAAGAGACGTTACAGACACCGACAAGAGACGTTACAGACACCGACAAGAGACGTTATAGACACCGACAAGAGACGTTATAGACACCGACAAGAGATGTTATAGACACCAACAAGAGATGTTATAGACACCGACAAGAGACGTTATAGACACCGACAAGAGATGTTATAGACACCGACAAGAGACGTTAGACACCGACAAGAGATGTTAAAGACACCAACAAGAGATGTTACCGACAAGAGACGTTACAGACATCGACAAGAGACGTTATACAGACACCGACAAGAGACTTTATAGACACCGACAAGAGATGTTATAGACACCAACAAGAGATGTTATAGACACCAACAAGAGACGTTATAGACACCGACAAGAGACGTTACAGACACCGACAAGAGACGTTACAGACACCGACAAGAGACGTTATAGACACCGACAAGAGACGTTATAGACACCAACAAGAGATGTTAAAGACACCAACAAGAGATGTTACCGACAAGAGACGTTACAGACATCGACAAGAGACGTTATACAGACACCGACAAGAGACTTTATAGACACCGACAAGAGATGTTATAGACACCAACAAGAGATGTTATAGACACCAACAAGAGACGTTATAGACACCGACAAGAGACGTTACAGACACCGACAAGAGACGTTACAGACACCGACAAGAGACGTTACAGACACCGACAAGAGATGTCATAGACACCGACAAGAGATGTCATAGACACCGACAAGAGACGTTACAGACACCGACAAGAGATGTTACAGACACCGACAAGAGACGTCACAGACACCGACAAGAGACGTTACAGACACCGACAAGAGACGTTACAGACACCGACAAGAGACGTTATATAGACACCGACAAGAGACGTTATATAGACACCGACAAGAGACGTTATATAGACGCCGACAAGAGACGTTACAGACGCCGACAAGAGACGTTACAGACACCGACAAGAGACGTTACAGACACCGACAAGAGACGTTACAGACGCCGACAAGAGACGTTACAGACACCGACAAGAGACGTTACAGACACCGACAAGAGACGTTACAGACACCGACAAGAGACGTTACAGACACCGACAAGAGACGTGATAGACACCGACAAGAGACGTTATAGACACCGACAAGAGACGGTATAGACACCAATAAGAGACGTTATATAGACACCGACAAGAGACGTTATAGACACGGAGTCACAGCACTCGGGCTGGCTCAATGTCAATGAGCCGGGGGTTCGAGGCATTTTTCCTTCTTCCTGCCACTTTAAAGGCAACTCAAAACAAGTATAACTTTTGCAATTGGCACGCAGCATCGGTACATGTGAAAGGACGGCATATGTTAAACATGTCGTTTAAAATTTTTAATTGTAATCGCTCGATAAAATTATGTTCCCCCCCCCCCCCGCCGTATAATACTGCAACATCGTCAACCATGGGGTGGGGTGGAGAGAGGGGGTGAGCGGGGGAGGGGAGGGGTAGGGCAGGGGGGGGGGGAGGGGCGGGGTAGGGCAGGGGCGGGGGAGGGGTGGGGCTGGGGTTGGGGAGGGGCGGGGGAGGGGAGGGGCGGGGGAGGGGAGGGGCGGGGGACTCCCACCCTGGCGATTCCGTTATCGAGGACACCACTGACGAGAATCGATTCCAATTTCAGTCTCGTTTCCCACCCGTCTCGTTTGTCTTGTCGAAATGTTCTCACTCGCTGTTTGTTGTTGTTGTTTGCGATATCGTCGCTAGATTACCATAAACGCAATGACATTTTGCGCACTACACAATAACGCGAAATCGATTCTTGTGCGAGGTCATCGATGCGTGGGTTATCAACCCTTGAGAATCGACGTGACGGAGCGATGAAGAACCCCCCCCCCCACCCCCGTGTCCCGGGCCGCTTCGGCTTTTATCGCTGCCATGCAAAGTACAATATTCACCCGCGACTGCAACGCAAGCTAAACCCACTCGCGTGTTATAAATATTCTCTCTTATAGACTTAAATAGTTTAAACGTGTCTAATTCCACTACTGCAACTTTTTATATTATATTATTAGCTCTTTCGGTAAAGTCACGTTGAAGAGAAACAATAAAATAATAAAATATATATAAAATAAAAAATTCTCACGACTTTTACAAGTTAAAATTTTAGTCAACTGGTTCACACGACCACGAGGGCCCCCCACCCCACCCAGCGTTGTCGATTGTTCGTTGTGGGGGGTAGAAAGGGGGGGGGGGTCGGCCAACTCGTTGCAAGAGAGACACAGTCTGTACTGAACGGGTAATATCTACAACAGCTGTTTGCCTCTTGGCGACGTAGTCTTCGGAATAGGGCAGAGCAGAGAACCCCACGGTTGTACTGTACTACCACGCTCCCGCTTTCTGTGCGCACCCGCTCTCCAATAATCGCACCGACAAGAGCGGTCAAGTAAGGCCAAACGAACCCCCACGACCAACAGCAAAGAGGTCGTCGTGTGGGAGGGTGGTCCCTTGAATCTAGCAGTAGCTTGACAGAAGGGCTGTCAACAAACATGGGACCACAGTGAGCTTGCTTGTATGCAGCCGAGGCAACGTCCCGTTCTATGGCAATATGCCCGCACATTGTCAATGTCGACACAAATCAATGCGATGTAAAACTCTAAACAGAACGTGCCCTCTCGTTTGCCAAGTACAGGGTATTGATCACAAAGCCAGTCGAGTACGAATTTTGAACTTTTCTTTGACACAGTCCACGTGGACCGGACGACACGTGCGTAGCACGTGTTAAAACTTCCGTGGTAGCGTGTCGCCCACTTACTTCAGCCACAAACCCTTAAACTGAACGAGTCAAAGAGTTAACACTTAAGACAACGAGCATCAAACTGACGCGCAGAAATATTTAGTGCAATGCAAGAATAGCGATGTGTGTTTGATCTTATTTGACGTGGCACGGTACAAATGTTGTTTTCGTTTGTTTGCAAGAGGTGGTGCAACGATGTCATATATATAAACACAAGTTTGTAATTTTCACCGTGCACGTATCGAGACGCATGTGTCAGAACCTGTAAGTTTTAATATTTGCACGCACGTTATACTGCAGATATGCTGCACGTTACATTTATCCGACAGGAGCAAGCAAAAATAAAACATACAAACTGGGCTAGAAAAAATACGAGACTCGAATTTTTTGTTCTTCAAGTAAATCCAGATTAGCAATGAAAATTGTATCCACATTGGGCGGCTGAATTCAGATTATACGCCTCCACGATATTAAGCACGATGGAGACTCGGTTAAGTCAATCACAGCAAATTAATTCAAATGCAACACCAGCAACTTACCGCCACGTTCCACTCCTCAAAGTCCATGCTCATCATGCTCCCCTGGGCTCGCGAGAAGACAGAAATCGGCGGCAGTGCAGCTTCCGCCAACCCCATTTTTTGTTTTTTAATTCATTGGGGGGGTTCATTAATCACTTTTAAAGTTTAAACAAAACGAACGTCTCCTGCCCGCCGGCGTTAAATGAATGAACCTCGCCAAACCAGGGCGCGGCGCTTTTATAGCCCAGGGGGCGTGGCTCGCAGAGCACCCGCGAGTTCCCATTGGCGGATATCGTTAAAGGGAGCGGTCGAAGGCACCAGCGGGGCGCTCTGATTGGCGAACGATCCGCGAATGGGCGTGGTCTGTTCGAGCTTGTGGCATCGCGCGAGGGCGACGCGGCTTTCAGCGCACGTCACGCGTGGGCGGTGCTGTTTGGCGTTGCCGGGGAGACGGGAAGTAAATACTGTGACGTCACAGACGCACGTGCATCACCGCTACTGCAGCGGAAGTGGGGCCACCTTAGTTGGATTCCCGGTCGTGGCTAATATCAAGCGACGCGTCATATCGTACCCGGCAACGGCCCTTCATTTATTAAAACACTGTACCTACTTAATACTAATGCTATTATCACGATTAATGAGGTTATAACGTTTAATAAAAATGCTGGCGTGTTAGCGATATTATAACTTATTTAAATCTGCTATAAACATTTTCTTTTTTCAATTTTTATTTAAAGCTTTCGTGACTGCAGGGATTCATATTCTTGGTTCTTTCGGTAAAGTCACCACGTAGAAGGGAAACAATAAAATAATAAAAATATAAAACAATACAATTCTCACGACATTTCGACCGCAACACAAGCAATCATCATTATTATTTTATTGTTTCCATTCTACGTGACATTACCGAAAGAACCAATAATATATCCTTTTTATTTTAGCAGGTAAGGCCCACTGAGCTATTTCTTTAGAAGCGACCTGGCCACAAAATGATAGCTCAACGAAGTGGCTTATCATGTGCACATTCATAGCAGCCACATGTTTTAAAACACATGTTTTTAAATGTGAAGGTAAAAACCGGAGGACCCAGATAAAAATCCACACGACCACGGGGAGAAAGACGGAAACTCCAAATATACAGCAGGCGTCAGGGTCGGGAGCGAACACCACACACTCCTACATACCAGGCGAGGCCGTTAACATCTCACCACCGCGGCGCCCGAGGTGGAAGAGTGAGCGGTTCGCAATCGTAAAGATGGTTGGTGGTTAACCCACCCTATTATACCTCCCGTGTCGATAAATTGAGTACCACTTTGTGGGGAAGTCAACAGTGCTTGCCATATGGATATATTTCCCCCACCATGGGAAATGAGGAATATTCATCACTGACTCAGAGCTTAAACAGGAGATGATCACCGCTTCAATGTCCATTTGAGCAATAAATAACTTTCAATTGCTACTTATAGCAAACATGTTATCGCTGCAACAGTAATCAGCTGGTGAATAGACTGGCTCCCGGCATAGGAGAGTAGCATTACCATCGCTGGCTCCGAGTCCAAATAATGAATGGAGATTATCATGAATGCGATTTAATAAAAAAATATTAATAATTCACAGGAGGCCTCCCTTCACCGAATGTCGTCGGGTTGTTTTACCATACATCACCGCATTGGTCCGTGCGTGTTGTTGCAGGGTGGGCCCAGGACTGCTTCAGGTATCACTCGCCACTGATGTTAGCCGTGACAGGGAAGAAGCGTAGGACGCCGGGCTGACAGTGCAATAACCCCCCCACCCCCACTATTTATATGGGAGTGGCTGCTGCTCCCCCAGATTTTCATCCACTCATAGACAAGAGCTTCGTCCAATCACAGCTCTTTCCTGAGTTGTTTTTATCAGTCCTTCACGATTGTTGATTCTTTCGATTTTAGCTGAAGAAAATAAAATTAGTTTTCATATAGGATTACGGTTTAAGGTGCATAGCTAGGATATAAGAGTCAAGGGATAGGGTTTGAGATTAAAGATGAGAGCTTAGTATTAGGGTTAGAGGTTATGGACATTAGTTCCGAATATTATATTATAATCCTGATAGATTGAGCACCTTTACACATTTATTTATCGACTCGCCATCATTTGGGGGGTTAACGCAGTCCATCTCCATGCCTCTGGGGTGGATACATAATAAATACTTTTTTGAGGTCAAATATGGTTGTCCAATAGACTTACCCACGGCATAGGAATGTGTAATTTCCACAAACATCATTATTTATCCGGAGTCGATACAATAAGCACCCGTCTGTGGAGAGTGAACAGTGGTCGTTCTATAGCCAGACTTGGCCCTGTCGCGGGAACGTGTAAGTTGCACAAATGGAACTGGGAACCGCCCGATTGGTTGTGTAAGCAGGGGAAACCCTTGGAATTTGACAATTATAAATGGGCGCATTGGGATGAAATAAATATATTTCACTCGATTCAAACTCAAGCTGACAGCGCAAACCCCCGCCTTGACATACTCAAGCGTATGAATTCCACACTAAAAATAACGTAGGCTACCCCCGAACAATGTTTGGCTAAGCGCTTAAAATCCTTTTTTCACCCCCTTCTTTCTCATTATGAATGTCTCAGCGCGACACCCGGGGGCACCGTCACCCTGGGCGACCATCAACAACACGGTGCAAAACAAAGGGGGGGGGAGGAGGGGGGGCTTCCCCCGGTGCTCGCCATTGGTCGCGCTGGCGTGACGTACGGTGGGGTGGCCACGGAATTCCTCGGAAAAGCCGGCGGAAAGTCCTTGTAAGGGCACACGTGGCAGTCACGTTGCCAGGGGCGACGGGAGTAAACACCGCAGCCAAAACAAGGAACCCACGAGAACAACGCCATTTCGCCCTTGCCAACACACACACAGCACGCGCCGCGCTCATGTTTTGACCGCAGATTTGAGCGCCCGTTAAAGTTTCGGAGTAAAGAAAATAATGTAAACCGCATTACAGTAACGTTACACGTGTCGTCTACTGTTAGTTCGACGGTGGCTTGTTACAATAGAGCTCATAAAACCCTACACTTTAGGGTTGCATCATTAAACCGATTTGGATTATTAACGACCCTGTTAAATGTATAAAGGCCGCGAGTAGTGTTTTCAACATGTATGAATTACGTGCTAGGTTACCCCGAGGCCCACCCTGACACGGGATCCCGCGAGACCACGGGCCTCGCCTGGTTTCCCTACCGAAGAAAGCCGGCTGGGCCCGCGAGCTAAGAGGGGCCTTAACCGTCACCTCAAAATTACACTTCAAACACAATACACTAACACAAGACAGGTTTATTACAATACTATAACCGTTTATTGTTGGATTTAGATCACTTAAAATATTATTTCAGAATACCTGCTGTTGTGACTCGCATAACAGACCTGTATAACAAAATCATTATTAAAAAGAAACGTTACATATACACTTTTTAAAAAATAATTGTAATTAAAGTATGATATAGGGCTGGGTACGTAGATAGGGCTGGAGTTGACGATTTTGGTTGCTTGTGTTGCGATCGAAACGTCGTGATATTTTAAAATTATTTTTTCTATCTACGTGGCTTTACCGAAAGACCCAAAGAATATGAATAAGTACACTGACGACAAAAAAACATCTTTAAAATCGGCGAGTGCAACACATAGACATGGTTATGACCGTGAGTGCCGATGGAACTTCGTGATGGGGTGGTTTTGAACACGGGGTTGTGGCGATTGTTGTAGAGTTGCTGCTGGTGAAAATTATGTGGAGGCTGACCAAAGTGATGCAGATAATGTAATTGATTATGGTTTTCATAATGGTAGTGACGTTCATTATGTAAATTCATGTTTATGTTGTGATTATTTAGATGTTGATAATGGTGACAACGATAATGTTTATGTTATTGATGATAGTAATTATGACGATATTAGTAAGTTATGTTGGTATTTTTAGTCGAAGAGATCGTTACTGCTGCTTATATTGACGATCAGGATGGTAATGACGATGCTGAGCTCCCAGCATCACTTCAGACCACAGCGTGAGATAGCGCAAACCAACCACCTCCATCCTGGAAAAAAGGATAACATTTCTAAAAAAATATCATCGCCACCAACACGAGCAAGATCCCCATGATCCAAGTCAAATATTTGCCCTGCTCCAATGAGCATGGTGTAGTGCTAGTCAACATTACCAGCCCTGCCTGAGGGGTGGAAATTCCACATTCCTATAAGCGAAGTAAGCCTCTTCATAGGATAGGCTAGACACCAGTGGTGCTATTCAGATTGATCAATCTCAGAAGATGATCTCATGATCATGATGATCGACTGTGCTGGCCCACTACTTTACAACGCTGAGCCGGGTCTTCTTACTCTGAATGTAATGCTTCATTGATTAAAATGTATTTAATCACAGAAGAACCATGCATTAAATCATAGTACTGATAATATTTGTCATATGAAAAGTATATGAAATGTGAACGTAATCAACAGAGAAGAAACAACAGAACACACAAGGCATACAATACAAATGAGATAGCAAACATGAGATAGATTGACGATTGTGCCACATTACAAATCTGAATCGTTACAATTCATTGAAAGTTACGGGAAGTGATGAATCATTACACGCCTTGTTCTGACACATTGACACCCAGTCGAATACTAATGTGAGGAGAGTCATACGATACACGAGAAATAATGTTAGCAGTCACATGATACATTGCGAGTCATACCTTGTTATCGGCACGATGAGATACAGTGTCAGATATAACACCAGGTCCCACGTCCACTCTGACAAAAAACAGAGATCACACGTTAAGCCGTATGGACAGTTGGAATAAATTGAGATTGTACATGTAGAGCCCAATGTGTCAATATATTGCAGTATGAGGGCCTCCCCACATCGTGCAGGTCATGTGGATGACTTGACCATACTTCACCATGCTGGTCAGTGCCGGTTGGTGAAGGTGGGGAGTAAGGATATTGGAGCATATAAGTGCAGTACAGGAATTGAGTTATGTACTGCCGTCTGCTGCCCACTACATAACCCAGCAAAACTTAAGATTCGTAAGCACGTATTAAGATCCACAAGCTCAAAGAGGTGGTGGTACCATAGATGCAATCCATGGCTGTGAGATCAACCAAGGCCACCAGGATCATAGCACAATGCAAACACCACTGTATCGCCAATCCCCAAAAATGCACACAAACACGTACTCTTATGACACACACACACAACCGTGTCAATATATAGTCATTATTGTGGATTATAAGTGGATATAATCATTGCCACCTTATATGTGACAACTGTGTTTATTTTACAGAATTATTACACTACACAGGGGAATAAAAGTCAGCGTCATCCTGCTCAAGCGAATGAAGGACCACTCATCTTCATCGATGACCCCGAGCCGCTGGTGGAAATTCCACATTATCACGGTGGTGGCCAGTAACCTCTGTTGTTGACTTCTCTCACAAAAACGATGCTATTCATTTCAACCTTGGAGGGATGATTTTGATGGTAATCCTAAGCTGAGTCTAACCCTGATTAAGGTTTGAACTGGAAATCGTTTGCTTTCAGTTGAACACTATGATAATGATACCCAATCAGATAACTTAGCAAAGCCCTTATTGTAGCTCATCAGCAGCTCTTACACTCCATTAAATGACATCCTTACTGTGTGTGGATCCTGGGTTTTCTTAAATCTGGCAGCTCCATGGACACCTGTTGGAGTCTTTGCTGGGATCCTGAAAACAATACATAATTCATCTTTATTTGAGTTCATCAGCATGGTATGCCAGATGGTAACTCACTCGCCTCGCACACTCGGTGTCATTGGGGTTCACGAGTATAATACACTTGCTTTCATAAATACAAACCCACTCATTATTAATCACATGGCTGAAAGCCTACTGCCACTTTCCTTAATGCCTGTGATACTGGAGCTCATCAGCACGCCACATGCACTTATAAACACTCTGCAGTTGTCCTGATTTTGAAAACAAAATCATGATGCCGAGAAACACTTTCTCCTGTATTGGAACTTAGCTTTACATGATCAGATTTTCAATGTCACCGAGTTGAGAATACGGACATGCATAAATTGTATTAGGCCCAATTATCATTACATGATCAGGAGCTAGAATACAGCGTGATGCTTCCACTCTTATTACAACTCCTAATGTTGACACAACAAACCCCTCTGCCACATTGTGACATTAATATTGGCTAAACATTTAATTGAGCTCATTACCCTGAAACCATCATAAATCTGCTACCACTCTAAATAGAGTCATCACCACAGCCATCCTCTCATTGTCCCATTGTATTAATACTGACAACACAATGCTTTGTTAACATTGGGGGTCATCAAGACCTTGCCATTCCCACCTGAAAGTGTGGATCCTTCAGGACTCGGGGTTGAGAGGGAGGGGCGAGGAAGGAGGGGCGGGATGGGAGAGATGGGGGGAGAAACTGCCCCAGTTGTTGGGAGCTGTTGCTGCTGTAGCTGTTGGAGTCTGCCCCAAGCAGCTGCCTGTTGCAGCGACAGCTGCTCCACCTGCTGCAGCAGGGAAGACCTTGCAGCTGCCTCCTGCCCAGTTGTGTGGAGGGGAAGCATATAACATTAGAAACAGAATCAATACCAGCAGTAGCAATATATTGACATTTTCATGACCAATGGAATTTGTCTTTAGCACCTAAATGTGATCACTTCTCCAGACGTTGTAAAGAAGGGGTGGGTGTTTTCTGTAAATAGAGGCATTAATAGGCAGAGAGAAAAGGGGAAGTCTTGAGCCTGGACTTGAACAGGGGCAGGGAATCAACAGGGTGGATTTAATGAGGTACGAGACATCCAGATCATGGGGGCAACAGAGAAGAATGAGCGACCTCCCACTGGAGGCATCATCATCATCTCACCTGTTTATCTCTCTCAGCATTTTTCTGTGACAGTTGTTGGGTTAGAACCTGAGCTGATTTCCCAGTTGTGCCTGCACATCAACACCAAGAAAGCAACCCCAATACTAACATTGGCAACTAAACCACCATAAATATAGCAAAAAAACTATGTGAAAAGCTGTGTGATGGTGATGGGTTGGAGATGATCAGCTGAGTTACCGGGACTAGACGAGCTGAGCGATGCCAGTGTGTGCCTGACGGTCATCATTTCCTCCTCCACAGAGACAACATGATGCTGCAGACGAACCTGTAACATCAACAGCATAATAAGCAGTAGCATTACAACCCCATAACCATCATCAGCACCTCCTATTAGAACGGTTGGCTATGCATGGTGGAACAGTTCAACATACATGCATATATATTACCTACATCATCACCACCACCACCAAAAGTTAAATAATTGACATCAGATAACATTATTTTCAACACATCATTATCACAGTAGCACCGTCATCTTGAGTATTATGATCATTATTCACCTCATTGGTATCAACATCATCCTTATCAGAAACTACACGAAAATGTCATCCACATCATTTTCTAAATTTCACACAATGAACCTCACCATTTATCACACACAATCATACATTAATAATTGTTAGCAAGCACCTAATAAGCACAGCCATGTGACCACCAAGCACACCGAAAGGTGCTGTTCGTGCAGAGCGAAAGGCATCATGGTACCTGCAGGAGAGCGATGTCATCGCGGGTTGACATCATCTCGGCTGTAATGGCGAGGAGGAGGGATCGCTCCTCACGCAGACGAGACACCTCGCTCCGGGTCTACCAATTAGCACCATCAACACCGGAGGCATTAGTAACATTTATATAATCATTATTAGCATCATTGTCAACAGAATCAATGACAATCATAATTAGTAACATCATTAAAATCATGACCATGCATTCATATTACGAGCATCATCTTCACTACCACCATCACTACCAACAACACCACCATCACTGCAAACACCACTACCCATACCCACCACCACCATGATAATCATCAACACCTCAGTGAGTAGTGATGTCACTTTCTCCAAGTTTCTCAGTGCAGCCTCTGCGTAGACCCACGGAGAAAGAGACTTTGGAGACAAGGACTCCAAGTCTCTAGCATCTGGAGAGACAGATGCTGGAGACTCGGAGACACCCATGTCCGTGCGTCCACACTCCTTTACAGCAATCTCTAGTCGGGACAAAAGCTGATGAACTTTAG